ACGCAGAAGTTTGCCAAGCGGGCGGTGAAGGATGGGGCGCTGTCTATGCGTGCCGTAACATACCTGTTTTCCTTCTGATGTTTAAGACAGAATTGGACCACGAGGAGAGCCCTACCAGCAACCCCAAAGCTCGAGGCGGTTACTAGGCCGTGACGGCTGTGCAGAGAAGCCACAGATGATGATGATAGGTGGGTGCCAGTTAGTAGCCGAGAGCAGTTGTCGCCAAGTTGATCTAGGCAGTCGTAACGACGTATCGTTCCTATAAAAAAATCTCACCGAACAGCCACCGCGTGTGTGGGACGCGTAGATGAAGTATCTGTCGCGCCTCTGCTTGATTAATTCTTAACTTATCCTGTCATTAGAGCCTCACGTCTATGAGGAGAACGAGTATTATAGATTCCACGTACTAGTTTTAGAAAGGGCTATAGATTCCAGTTTCTGCATTATGGCTTCTGCTAGAAAGCCAGATATAGGTGAACCCAGAGGAGCACCTTTCAGTTGCCGGTAACATTGTTTTGCGAAAGAAAAGTTGGTTTCTAGACAAACATCAAGTAGTTGGAGTAGAGCGTCGGCAGGTACGTCAGTGGTGTAAGTCCGAAGGAGTTCTTCGGTGCAGTGTCTCGCTAAATCTAATGGAATCGAGGTGAAGAGGGAGACTACATCTAATGAAACCATTATCTCGTCGGTTGCAACATTCACTCCTTTTATTTTGTCTAGGAACTCATTTGAATCTTCAATGGAGTTCTCAGAGTCCTTTGTAAGTGGATGCATATGGTGAAAGAACCACTTAGAAATCTTGTAGTTTGGTGCACCGATAAAGGAGACTATCGGTCTCAGTGGAATACCTATTTTGTGAACTTTAGGAAGTCCATATATTTTGGCAATTGTGGGTTCGTCTTGTTTTAAGGATTTGGACAGAACTGCTGAGATTAATTTCTTTCCTGTAAGGCGCTTTAGTGTTTTCTCAATGCATGAATTCTGCGATTTTGTGGGGTCAGCATCCGGGGGTTCGTAGGTGGATTCGTCTTTATTAGTGTCATCATCTTCTCTGTATAGTCTGTCTTGTTCATTATGGTGGTGGAGCCTCCTTTGTCAGCGGGCAGAGTGATGATGTTTTCATCAGTTTTAAGTGAACTTAGTGCTTTCTTTCCACGTACTATTACTCACTTTTTAAAAATTGACGCGGGAATCGCTGCTGCGGCCTTAAGGCTTGATTCTGCCCACTGACGACAGTGGAGGAAATACGAAACGACATCTTGACTGGAGAGCTTGAATAAAGAGCATGGAAGTATCATCCTGCGAACTCTCTTTGCCTTCGGTCTCTAAATGATAGCGGCCCTGGTTCTTTACTTTGCACGCTTTACCCTCCGTCAGCTTTCTATAACCAATGCGTACGTTTTGTTGTCTTTTCCGAGCAAGACTCGGGTGAGTAAAGGTACTGTGTTTGCCAACGGTCGGCGTCAACGGAAAAGGAGAGACGCTTGCCAGATCTTTATTCGGGAGTGAACCGAAGGCGGAACTGTGATGAGCATGACTGCTGCGAACCGCACGCTCCTTCAACTCCCGTCCAATACTCTTGGAGCCGTTGATTTGGCCGTAGTTGGAGTTAGAATGTGCTTACTGACCCGCTCTCACGTGTACGTAGCCTATACACGTCTGCTGAGAGTCCTTGGTGGCGACTGCTTGGTGTTGTATAGCAGGAGTAGGAGGAGAGCGACGTGAGATGTGCAGGTCACCTGAGAATCCGTTTCTGGCTCGCTAACAGTCGTCTGACGGCCACGCCAGGAAAACCTGAGAGCATGCACGTATTACTGTGCCAAGTAAGCTGCAGGGGTTTCGAAACCACTGGTTGCATAACCATTCTTGGCATGCAGTCCTTGATGGCATGGCATGAGCACCGCAGAAGACTGCCCTGAGTTCATGGATACCAAAAGCGA